TTTTTTTTCTTTCTAGGGGTGGTTTTTTTTTTTTTTGTCTCTAGGGGTCTTTATGTTTGTTCCTTCTCTTGTTTGTCGCTGTGGTTGTTGTAAAACTTGTGTTCGTTCCTGTCACTGTCCATCTTTTACAGGTTGATTCGTCGGTTATTCAGTAACTTCGGTGCAGTTCTTTGTCGTTGGCGTCGAAGTTCGTTTCAGTTCACCCCTTCTGCGGATTTCATTCGGTCTCCACAACATGTTTGACCCTCGAGGCAATAACGGGAAGGGCCCCACGGAGTCCTCCTCGGCAACGGGGAAAAGGGCGGAGGGTAGTAGAAAAGGTCACATGACGAAGACCTTTGACTCCCCTTTTAAGGTGGATCCAAAGGCGGATGGAAAACGAGATGATCCTGTTTGGCATTTCGTTGCTCGTGGTCGTTATTTAGATGGATCCACTGCGATCAGGAGGAAGAACGGTCGTCATTATTTGTGCAGGTTATGCGGTCGTTCTCTATGTGGGAGTGTTCGTGAGGCGAAGGAACACTTTTTTCGTGACGAGGGGTATAGATGCCAAGTGGCCACTCCGGCGGTGTGACACGCGATTTGGTCAAAGGATATGTCCAAGTGTCCTGCACATTTGGCTTCTGTCGTGCAGGCCTTGCAGAGTCTCCCTCTAGGTCATCCCTCTTTTCAATGGCAACCTCTTCGTTTTCCCGATGACGTCGTTCCGCCGCCCCCGTCGACCGCTGCCCCCTCGCAAGTGGCGCCATCTCCATGTGCATCACTTGCTCCCCTCCCCCCTCGTCCGCTTCGTCAGACGATTCCCGCATCCGTTGATGGCAGACCATCTGTGGCAACGCAGCCTGATGCGCAAGGCGCCGTGCCAGTTTCAGGTGTCGAGGAACCTGTGTCGTTCGACGAGCAAGGCACTCGTGCTTTCGTCGAGGGCGGTGGGTGGGGGAAGGACGCTGGCACATCATCAAGCCTCGCCCCGTTGTTCACTGGCAACAGGGACAAGGTCCTAAGAGTTCGACGCACAGACACACGTCCGGCCGTGGCAGGAGCACCCACAACAGGACATCAATCCGCTGCGTATCCATGGTTGCCTCCCCCTCCTTCGCAAACACGACGGCCTACACCAGACTTGACTTCGGCACCTGTTGGCGAGGCCGCTGCAACGGCCACTGAGGGTGCGGGAAACGTCCAGCTCGACGAGCCCGTCCAGGTTTCGGATTCGTCACCCACTCCTGTGCCCGTGAACGGCCCGACCTCGCAGCACGGTGTTTTTGGGACACTGGATCCTTTACAGAATCTGCGCAACATTGCAGCTCCGAGTCCAGGCCCCACCGCATCAC